TTTCCTTTTTATTTAAATTGCAGTGTTAAGCAGTTGAGCTGAATGAACAGGCCTGTGTCCACAGCTTTTTGAGCGATTAACAAAAAAGCCTGTTCTGGGCGAGTGAGCTGTGCGCTCTGCGTGAGGCTACTGCTTCAGGGACAAAGAGGGGAAGTGGCTGAACACGAGGTTATTAGTTTGTCTGGAGTTTTTATGCAAGCACGATGGCATAAATAGAGCCGCTTGTTTGTTGATCTCTTCTGCGATGGCAGCTCAGGGCAAGCTGCTGTATTCATCTATTTATTGCTGAAGCAACTAGTGCTTTTTTCCCAAGACTGGGATTCTCTTATGCCATGCACAGTACAGCTGCGTTGCCTCTGCAGTAAATAGCTGCTTAGTCCTAAATGGACAAGGAAAAAGTTTGGAAAAGAGGAACTACTACTGTATGTGTTTGGCTAGAGAGTTGTGGGCAGAGAATGGTGATTCCCCCTTTGGTAATGGTTTGGAAATAACTCTGTCTCCTGGCCACATGCTGAATTTAAGGGCAGAATTGAGACAAGGAGTGGTAAAAAAGGTGTTGGTCCTTATTTTGAAACTAACTGCCATGATGCACATTGGGACTAAATGGCTTATTTTAGTTGTGTTTTTCAGCTCAAGGAGTCTAAAACCGTGCCAGAGAATGAACCGCTGTTGTCTGGGGTCTAGACCAGAATCTTAAACAAGAAAAACAGACTGTGCTGGAAAGGCACGTGCTGAAGCTCTCCAGCGGCTGAGCACCACATCCTGGGGGTGTTAAACTGCTGCAGGCTGCTGCTATCGATATGGGTGGCAGGGGGTACCTCTAAACCCCCATCTGGTCTGCTCAGAGATGGGGGAAACCTGCTCTGCCCATCACCGGGAGCAGCCCTGCAGGGCTCCTCTGCATCCTGTCCAGAGCTAAACAGCGTAGCAGTAGTCCATGTGACAAAGGATTTATTAGCCCGGTTTCTGCATCTGCTTGTGTGTCTCTCCCAAAGGCCATTGCTTGAGTCAAAAGGCCAACTTGTTAAGAAATTACAACTTTTATTGCCTGTTGTTCTCTCTGGAAATAAATACGTGTACTCGGCCAGGCTGGTGTGGTGGGAGAGGAGGGATTCAGCTTCATTCAGCATCTTTGCGCTGCGTGTGTGGGTGCAGGGAAGGGAGCAGGAGCTCAGTGGGACCCAGGCAAGAGACAACTGAGTATTTCTGCTGGGGAACCTCTGTGTTAGGAGCGACTTCATGCTACAAAATTGCCTTTGCAGCTCTCTGGGGGTTATTTGCATCAGGGAAATGACTAACCTGACCCATGGTCCTGCCCGGTGTCTGCTTTTACAGGGAGGGAGTTACGGTTCAAAGAAAACCTGCCTGCACCCTGTCTGCAACTGAGACATTCAGCGTAGAAGTTCAGGGGAAGGTTTCCCGGTGCCCTGGTTTTCTATGTTTCTTTTCCTTTCTTGTGCCACTTCCCTCCTCTGAAGCTGGACACCAGAACATCTTTGAACGAGCTTGTGTTGGGATTCTGAATTTTCCAGCCTGGTATTCCTTATCCAGCATTAACCTACCTGTTCCTGGGGGTGCTCAGGAGGCTTCTAATTATTTTGGTAAGCATGAGGAATTCCCCAGGTCCAGCTAAAGGGAATAGGTATGTCACTGTCACTAAGCAGGCTCAGTCAAAACAACAAGACAAACTGGCCTTAAATATGCCGAATTCCATTACCTTTGTATATTTGACAAAAGTTAATTGTCTCTTTGACAAAATCAGTGTAGTAGTCAGCCTGTCCCTGTATGGGGCTGATGGGTGTGGGGTAGAAATCCTTCATTTATAAGCGATTCACTAAGTAGCATTAAAGCTGTCTCTGAAGACAAAATAATCTTTCTAAAGAGGACTCAAGGTACCGGGAAGAAAGATTAATAGCTCAGCTATTTTTCAATTACGCAAGTTTCATTTATTATAGTCTACCTGGATTAACTCTTACTAAGCTGCATGCTTTGGCAGGTAGGGTTGGGAAGGGGGGTGTTCCACGCTCAGCGAGGGACGAGTGATTCTCTGCACGTGGCTGCTGCGATGGGTGCGAGTGACACGGCAGGAGGGTGCCAGGTGCTGCCCCTCAGACTCACCGTTAGTAAAGCTAATACGTTTTTGCAAAAGGAGTGTTTGAAAATAATTTGTGGTGCTTGAATATTTTGCACTGATTGCATTCTGCTTGGTCTTCCTGTTTGTGCACATGTACATGCCCTTCCCACTGTGGATTGGGTACTGAAGGGCTGTGGTTTCTTACCCTAATTCAGTTGCATACTCCTGTGATCACGTTTATGGCCCTTGCACAATCAAATGAGCCTAAATTCTTCTAGTACACTGGGGATATTTTTATTTCAGTATGATTTACGTCAGAGGTTCCGGTAAAGTGTAATTAAAAAGGTCTTATTAATACCCCTACCTTCATTTTTTTTCCTTGCCACTGCTTCCTAGAGTACTAGCCTTTTCTTAATTGAAGCAGTGAAGAGTCCATTTAGCAGAAAGGCGGGAGGAAACAGCCTGAAAATCATTCATCTAAATCACTCCACCGATGAAAACAGTTGCTCACTACATCTATCATAATTTCTTCTAAGTGTCTTACGGGAGATTAGTTGCTATAACTATACAGATGCACACGTGCCTGGTAGAGCTATGTAGACCTTCTCATCTAGGGCAGTTGCCCTGGGCCGTGGAAAAAGACTGCTTTTTGCAGGTATAAATTATGCACCAAAAGAAGTTACCAGATGAGAAGGCATTTTTGTGTTTTTTTGGTTGCAGCAGTCTCATAAAATGTGACCCTGCCTCTACCTCACACTGCTGTGCTAGAAAGTTGGGGGTTTTTTAAATGTGAGGCCAAAATCATAATTGGGCAGCTTTGGTGCTCCTATCAGTTCTCTTGTCCTGGAGAGCACCAGTACAATCACCCCTGCCCTGCAGCTGGTGTAGGGTCAGTGGGGTTCAGCAGAGTTTGCATTAATACCCTTCCCATTATTCAGCAATCGACTACTGTTTGCTATCACTAGGCAAAACCAGTTCCCTGTGGGATGTCCCAGCTTGGTGGCTTCCACAATGGAAGGGGCTGGAAGAGACAGCACTAGCAGGTTTGGTCCTAACAGGAGACAGCTGTTCTGAGTGCAGGTCTGCTGGGGCTCTTGAAAGCCTCCAGAGCCAGGGGAGAAGCAATAGCATTGCACACAGCTTTCAGCAAAGAACTCGGAAAGGAAGCTTTTTCCTTGACTTCAAACATCATCTTAATTAGTCTCAAACCATGTTTCCACTAGCAAGTCCAAGACACCTGCATATAAAGTGAAGGTCTTCTGAAGTCACCTCCCAGTTTTCTGCATCTGAAGTACATCTGAGAGCAGCTTAAAAATGGTGCAAACAGGTGGCAGAGCACAGTGGCATGAAGGTGAAAGGTGTGAAAGGGTGCGTCGATGTGAGCTGCTCCTGTCCGGCTCCTGTACTGCAGGTATGTCTTGAACAGAGACCAGCTGAAAGTCTGTGAACAAAATTATTTGGTTTACACAGAGAAAATATTTGCAAAACTATGCAGAATTCAGTGCAGAGTGTCAACTAAGACCAAAAAAAAAAAAAAAACAGATTTCAAGCCAAAATGCTCTCTTTGGCAATTTGAAAATGCATGATTTTGATCATTATTTTAAAAAAAGCCCCATTTTGTTTCAAAATTGAGTGCTCTTCACTCATGGGGAAAGGGTAAAGATGCGGGTCTGGCTTTGACTCTGTGCCACCAGGCTGGGGCAGACCCTGTTTGCTGCTCGTTTTGGCTCTGCCTCGCTGCTGCTCGTGCGCTGCTGACGGGGAATAAGCCTTCAAAGCGTTTGCTTTTAGCTTTGGTCTTGACTCACTCAACCAGGCAGTTGTAAAAACCCCCAGGCTGGACTGTGACACAGCCTTTACGTTGGCTCGGGCACTTTGACCTGCACACAGAGAAGTGGCGTGGGGCTGGAGCCAGGGGAGATGCCCCGGGGAGGTGGGCTGCCTCAGCGCACCCCTGCCCTCCCTCCTGCCCCCACCCAGGCCCTAGCACAGCACCACAGCCAATGTCCACAGCCCATAAAACCTATTTTCTGTGTTTATTTTCTAAATAAAGCTGAGAATTCACGCGGTTGCAGTATTGCAGCCACAATCTGACCACCGGGGCTTGGTCTCTTCTTGCTAGTGCTGGTGTGGAGTAAAGCACTGAGGTGCCTGGGTGCCTCAGCTGTGAAAGAGGTGGCAACCCCCGCTGAGCGCTGCTTCTTCACGCGTTAGAAGCAGTAAAAAGTGATATAATGACAGTTGAAGGCATTTGTTCTGACGTAACTGGTTGAAAAAGTTCTTGTGAGGATGGGTTTGGTTCAAGGGGGGCTGGCAGTGGGGGGCTGGTGGCGTGCTGGCCACAGAGCCACGGGTCAGTGGTTGCAGCGGGAGACAAAGGCGAAGCAAGCACTTCTGTAACAAAAAAAATCTGCAAGACTTCACCTTGTAATTTCTTCCTCCTTGGTCGCCCTGTCGGGGGGCAGGAGCTGCGTGTGGCCCCCCCCCCCGGCGGCTGTGGGGCAGCCACGGCGCCCGCCTCCCCGGGGCCTGCCTTGGAGCACCCCTTCGTGCCGGCCGAGGTTGTGCGAGCCGGAGCGGCTGCCCCCGACCCCTTCCTCGGACAGAGAAAATAAAAACAACCCTTCACCCTGACTGGGTTTCCCCCTCGGCGCGGCCGTTCCCGGGGTGAGCCCCGGGGCCGCCCCGCCGCTTCCCGCCGCCGCCGCGCGGTGGCGCCATCGCACCGGAGAGCGCGGCGGGGGCCCCGCGGCGGGGGCCCCGCGGCCCGCACCGGGCGGCCCCCCCCCCCCCCCTCCCCGCGGGCAGGGCGGCGGCCCCGCCGGGGGAGGGGGCGGTTTGCGCCCCCCCCGGGAGAGGCGCGGGGTTGCGCTCCTCCCCGCGGCGGCGGGGGCTGCCCGAGGAGGAGGAGGAGGAGGAGGCGCGCATGGAGCGGTCGGGGAGCAACGGGAGCTGCCCCGGCTGCCGGCCGGAGCGGGGTCCGTCGGTGCGGGCCGCCACCGTCCTGGCGGCCGCGCTCATCTTCACCATCGTGGTGGACGTGCTGGGCAACGCGCTGGTCATCCTCTCGGTGCTGAGGAACAAGAAGCTCCGCAACGCCGGTGAGCGGGGAGGGGAGGGGAGCGGCCCCGCACAAGCGCCCGGGGCTCCCGCGGCCCCCGCACGGCAGCGCTCCCCACTCGCGGCGGGGCATAGAGCCCGCGGGGGTCGGCGGGCGACAGCCGCGGAGGGAACCGCGGCCGCTCTTCTTAGCACCGGAGCGGTAAAGGGCGCCGCTGCCCCGGGAGCCGCGGGTGAAGTGGGGGGTTGGGGGGGGGGGGGCGAGTTGCCGGGGGGCCGGGAGCGCCCGCTCGTCTCTCCTCTCCGGTGAGCCGAGCTACCGCGGGGTCCCGACTCGCCTCCGCCCGTCCCGCGGAACGCGCGTGTCCCCGAGGCAGCCGCAGACGGAGGAGCCCGAAGTCCCCCCGCCACGCAGGTAACGGCCGTGGCCCCCCCGGCAGAGCCGCGGCGGGAAGGAGGGGATCTCCGAGTGCCGGGGTCGGGTGCGGGGGACGACTGACCGCTCGTGGTTTTCAGACGAGCCCGCTGCAGCGCTGGACACTTGCTTTTAGGTCCCAGCCTTGTGTGTGTTTTAGCGTTTTAATCTTGAAGCTGCTTTATATGACCAACTGAGAGTAGAGTGAAGATACTCAATGTTTTTTCGACGGGTAATTTCAAAGTCTGCTTTGGAGCCTTATGTGTTGACCTCCCTAGTGGATTAATCTAGGAAAATTGTCAAGTTGATATCGATATTAACCATTTTTAAGAAGGCTGGGGTTTTTGAGGGTGTAATTTCTTTTTGTTTTCAAAGTCTTGTTATTTTAGCAACGAAATAACACTGGATATGAACTGCTCTAGAAGGAGTATCAGATAGTCAATGTAGTGCACTTAAAATGTACCGTAGAGTATGTTTTGCTAAGGACCACACCACTGCCCACTTTTACAGCAAAAGACATAAAATGACCTTTAGTTCTACAACCTGTAGAATGGTTTTAATGAAATATCTCCGGTGTTTATAATGTGTAAGACAAAGTCGTAAATATTTTGGAGATGCTGATCTCTCTCTGTGTCTCACAATCTTCTGTAAATATGGAGTAATTCAACAGAGTTCAGTAAAAGTAGCTGATGGGTAAGACTGATGGGACAATTTCCTCCCAGTGCCTTTAACATTTGATTGATTTTTTATTTTTTATTTTTTTTTAAACAATAGCACACAAATAGCTCTTGGCTTGGGCAGGTGCTGGATGCAGGGATCTCGACCAGTGAGTTCTCTCTAACTGGCACATGAAATGTGGCCCAGAGTATCCACAATAAACCAATGTGCTGTGCTGGGTTTATGAGAACTTTAATATCGTAGGGAAAGCGGTTTTCTATTCTTTTCAGCTTTGCTTTAAAATGTGAGTGCTGTGAGCTCGTAGTTCTGGGAAAGACAAATAGAGACCCCCATCCCTTCTCCCCAAGAAAGTGGTTTTTATGTTATCTGTCTGGTTAGGCTGCAAGCAGATTTGAAACTATTTAGCTGCTTTTATCACTTTTCAAATTGTTATCCACTTGAATGTATTTCATGTCTTAAGACTGCTTGTGCTGTGAATTGAGTTCAAGTTCCTGCAAAAGTGAAAAAGAACAGCTTTCCCTTGAAGTGACCATGGAGATATTTTCCAAATCTTAATCCTTGTCAGTAGCCTGTTGTCTGCTCTATGTACAAGCTATCGAGATGTACGAGTAAAACCAACACAAGGGAAGTCCTTAACCTCCTGCTTTGAGGGAAGGTGGCTCTCGTTGCACATATAACTTGAGCATGACTAGTGGGGAATTCAGTGTTACACACTTTGAAGCGGTGGTAGGTGTCGAGAGCGCCATCCTGCTTTCTTGACCTGAGCATCATTCCTTCTTCAGTCAACAGCCTAAACTGGGAATGTCTTTGCTGAGTCACAACTCAGCAGCAGGAAAGTGAGGTGGGTCGGACTGATGGTGATGGTCTGAAGTTCAGTAAGGTAAAACGTCTAACCAGCATCTAAATGGTGTCATCCTGTTCTGCTGAAAAGGTTATGTGTGTTTAGGATGTTGAGACGATATTCTGCATCTGTCCATGTTGGGAAGCAAGGGGGCTGTCTGCTTCCCTGGATGCAGAACGAGAAGTCAGGGGTTTCAGCTCAATTCATGCTCTTCCTGATGTGAGCAACACTATGGACGAGGGGGACTCAGCTGGGGCACAGCAGCCAGGTTGAAGTCCTTTGGACAAGGAGTTTCTCTGTTTATGTTCAGACCTACACTAAGCCAGTCCAATAAATGAAAAGGACACTCATTATGGATGTGTCAGCTCTTGCCAAACCCTGGGAGCACCAAGCCTTCCATTTCTGGAGCAAACTCGCAGGGAACATAGCAAGAGCCCAGCTACAGGGTCGTCCAGCTGGAGCTAAAACTGTATTGCTGGGGTACTCTGGATTCAGGCCGGGATGTGCAGCTGGCACTGCTTCAGTAGCTGTGCTGGGTGATCTCTTGTTGGGGGGGTGGGGTTTTTGGTCCACCCCACTGGACCTCTCTGCAGTACTTGGCACACTCCAGCACCTCTGCTCAGCCTGCAGCTACAACAGGCAGAGGTCGAGTGTGGCTGTCAGGCAGGGCCTCGCAGGGAGTACCCTCACTGGTGTGGTCAGCTGCCCGGGGAGATCAGCAGTTATGTGGAGCCGAATGAGCAGAAGGAGGCGAGTGATGCCTGTGGACAGAGGAAATCCAGATTCACTGGAAGCCCCAGGCTGCTTCTGTGGTAGATGGTTCAGATCCACTGCTGGTTGTTCAGCCAGTCATGCTGGGGAACTGCTGGCATGAAGCTTTCCTACAGTAACATCCAGCTGCTCGTATGGTCTGAGAGCTTCAAACAAAACTCCAAGCTTTGGTCCATATGTCCACACTGCAGGACGTTTAGATGGTTGAGGGTGAAAGGTGTGGGAAGAACTCTGCTCCTTTTTCAGGAGAGATGTCTTTATGGGAGGCAGGTGAGAAGGGATGAATTTTTTTGGCAGCTGAAAGCCTTCGCAAACCTGGCCACCCTGCTACCCCTACACTGGTGTGGTTTAAAAGCAAAAGACCTGACCTCTAAAACTTCCCAAGAGAAATCACGCCACTCCTCTTTCTCTCTGGGAAGGTGTAAGGCATGTTGGGTGGGTGTTGGTGTGTGCTGTGCTGTTGCTGGAAGTTGCTCAGGGTGCTGAGCACAGATTAGGACCCGTGTTGGAAATAGAGTGAGCTGTGTGTTACATGGCCAGTGCAGGATCATGGCCAGCTGAAGTCTGCTGGTGTGGCTGAGTCTACAACTTCTCCTTTGTGGGTCCTGCTAGCTTTACAAGTGTGAACATCTGCACTAAAAACAGCCAGTATTTTTCCAATGGGTTAGCCTGCTCTTTGGGCAGAGGCTCTGGAAATACCCTTCTCTAGCTCTCCCGAACTTGCTGCAAACTGAGGCACACAGCCAAAACGTGCATTCACTGAAAACCCACATTTCCCACCAGTGCTGCCTGGAGCTTCATGTGCAGAGAGCGATTTCTGCTGCCTTGTGGGCCTTTTTCTCTCATGGCAATGTCTCTCTGGGGAGCCAAAACCTCGGTGGAGGCAGGCAGTGCAGGTATAACTCTAATGAGGTCACTGGGCTCAACCAGCTTTTAATCCTCCGGATATACACTATACACTGATGTCTGCATAGCGCGGGGGGTTTTGTTCTTAGACTGTCACGCCAGCCAAAGTGAAGTGTCACACACAAGTCTGCATGTATTATGTCAACACAGTTACCTTTGTCAGCCAAATGTGTACTCTTAGAAGAAATACTAGATCGGTTTGACAAGCCCTCCGACCAAAAAACTGTTGACTAGCACTAACCATGTTTCCACCTCCGAATACTGCCCGTTCCCTGTCTCCGCTGGGGACCGCAGGTAGGGGAACCAGCCTGCACTTCCCAGGTCAGGCCATTTGCCCTCTGAAAGTATTGGCATAACCCCAAGTTTTTGTTTGCTTGAGTGGGTTTTTGAATTTATTGTTCCAAGACCTCTGGAACTTCCTGGCTGGCCTGGGACATGTTTTTCTATTTTGTTGTTTTGTTTTTGTTTTTGTTTTTTTTTTTCTTTAACGTCTGTGTTAGGGATTGGGTGAGTTCCTTCATACACTCTGATGTGCAGGTTTTCTAGTTACAGATGTGAAAAATGGTTAGCAAATGGTGTTGGGTATCTTCCCAACATGCTTCTCTGAAAATTTTGTTATAGCTGAGATCTAAGTCATCCTTATGTGCAAAGACAAAAAGTAATGCTTATACTTTCTACATCTTCTGTAGCAGAATAATTTCACTGTACTTTTTTAGCATCAAGCCTATTGTATTGAAATATTGTTGCTTTTTTTCCTGATATACCTATTGCCATTAGGTTTTCTGATATCTTTTAGCTTGCTTTATAAAATGTGTTGATTTCTAGCTGCTAATTTTATAGTGGATTTTTTATTTATTACATTTTTTATTTATTTTTCAATTTGGCTCATCTTAAAAAAAATTCCTATTTTAAGGCAAATAAACTCTTTTTGAATATAGGATTGCTTTTTGGGGGCGAAAAGAAGGCTCTGCTAAGGCATCCTTAAACACCTCCCAGTAAGCATTGTCACATTTGCTTATATTTAGGTGTTTTCTCTCAATTATTTTGTGTCTGATTGTTTCTAGTTTTGGGAGATTGAACTGTTAGAGACATTGTGTTGGACCATGTTCTGTTTCCTTATCTCAAATGCAGTTGAGAGCTGTAATTGGTTTTCTTTCAGCTACTGCAGGATTTCCTTGTCCTAGAAAGCTGTCTATTATAGGTAGGTGTATTGAGATTATTATTTTTAAAGTTATTTTTTATTTTTAGCACTGAAAATCCTCCAGCATCTGCCACAAGCCTGAAATCACATCTTTTCTTTCTGTACACTGCAAGTAGATGCTTCAGGAGCTGCTCATCTGTTCCGCTGATTCATTTGTCTACAGCAAGCTCCCACCGGTGCTTCTGATTTACTCAGCCTCTGACCCTCTGAAGTATCGGGGGCCCTGCAG